AGGCCAGTTCCAAGGCTGGTCTCACCACTCCTGCTGGCTGGGTACCTCTGTCTAGTGGTGAGGGTGGGAGGGAGAGTGGCTGTACAGTGGTTAGCACAGGGCCTGGCTCCATAGGGAATGCTGTGCTGGGCCACCTATCCACCTTCCTGGACTCCAGTGGGGAATTTCAGACCCCAGAGATGGCAGAAACACCCAGCCAGGCCCCTCTGCTTTCCTCATGAGCACGGAGGGATAGGGCGACCAGCCGTACCCAGAGCCAGCTCCAGCTCCATTACTTGTACAAGCCCCTATGGTTTTCAGATCTTCTCCAAATTTAGGGCCACCTCAGCTGCTGGGCTTCCGACCTCCCTGTCTCCACTCAGAGCTAGGGAGCAGGCTGGCAGGGACCACAGCACCTCTTATCCCTAGAGAGTTCAAGGACAGCGTGCTGACTGAGCCCCTCAAGCACTTGGAGGAAGGCCTTTCTCAACATCAAGGAGACCCAGGCCCAGCGGGCGTGATGTCCAAGATGGCACAGTGGCAGGGGGTTGGGAGGTGACAGCTGGCCTCCAGAGCTGTGGCTGGCCTGTGGGAGCACTCCACTCCCTGGGCACTGAGAAGTCCTGGCTTCAGCCTCCATGGTAGGCTTTGCTGGGGGTCAATACAGCTCAACTCTTCTCAATTCAGAGACCTCCTTCACTTGGCTGCCTTCCTATGGCCTGATTTCCGGGCAGTTCTGTCACAGGATGTTGCAGTGAACCACTCAGGAGCCCCAGGTGGCCGGGACAGGCGTGGTGAAGCAGATGGTGAGATTCGACAGGAATAAAACAGGTTGGGCAGAATGTGGTTTACAGCTTTGTGTTTTATTATTATTTTAATGTATTTCAATCACTGTGTATCATTACACCATACCAAATGAACTGTCCCATCGGGAATACTCTATATTGGTTCAGTCAAGGTTTTGGGTTCTGCTGTGTGAATGTGTTACTTTCTTTGTGTGGCATCCACTGGGGGCCCCAGGGCCACCCAGAAGTGTACCTGCCCTTGGCATGTGGGGTTGGGGGAGGGACAGGCAGTGTGGGCAAGGTGTTTTGATGGGGTTGTCAGAAGTGCCAGCTGCCAACTGAGAGTACTGTGATCACACCAAGTGGTGAGGGTGGGAGGGATAGTGGCCATCCAGTGACTGGCCCAGGCCCAGATGGGCATTGTGGCCTCATCCCAGCAGCTTGGCTTGACCCAGAATGCTAAGGACACACAGTCTCTTGCTGTGATGGGACTCAGTACTCTCCTGCTAATGTGCACTTTCAGTGGGAACTCTGGGGCTTGGACAGAGGGTCCAGGACACCACCATCTGCTGTCCACCATTCCTGCCACACCGGTAGGGAAGGGGGTCACAGGCAGTCCTGGGGTTGTGTTGGGACCATGCAGTCAACACAGGCTGAATATAAAGGAGCTGCCTCCCATGCCTAAAGCAAGGACTGGGCTGGGAAGAAACTGTGAGCAAGGTCAACAGTTTACGAGTTCCAGTTCTCCACTGTGTTGCTATAGTGGTCTGAACTCAATTTCTCTGCCATGGGCCTTATTGCCGTTAAGGTACCCCGATACCCCATAAGGACAAAATAACACCTCCAGCCTTACTGGAGGTTTTTGCTATAGGGCACATGAGCTCACTGAAAGAGACAGGGAGATACAGAGAGACAGAAAGTGAGGAATCAACCCCCAGGGGAGATGACCATGCCACAATTCCTTCTCCATTCTCCTCTCAGGATCTTGAGCATGCACACATATGTGCCAGGTGTGAATTTAAGCTACCAGGTCTGGGATTAGAACCATGGTTGACTACATGAGAGTTCAGTGACATAGCCATTATGCCAACTGCTGGTCCCTATAGTTTAACAATTTCTAAGAAGAAATCATAAATCAATACTGTTATTTAAACTAATTAATACAGCATTGGGACATCTGATACAGTGGAGGGCCAAGGTATACAGCAGGCCACATGTGGCTAGAGGCTGTGAGCAAGAGACTTGTGGTATATCCCCTCCCCACTCGCCTTTGAACACTCAGGTACGTTGCTTGGGACTTTGAGAAGACCCTTCTAACCCCATCCAGACATCCCTTCTAGCAGAGGTCCTTGGCATCCAGCAGGCTGCTTGTGGCTGGAGGCTGTGCAGCAGAGATTCCCCACTTGACTTTGAATTTCCAAGTGTGTTGCTTGGGATTTTGAGAAGACCTTTTGTTTCTCCCTGCCCCATCTGTTCCAGCAGAGGGCCTTGTCAGGCTGCTTGTAGCTAGAGGCTGTGTGCAAGAGACTCATGGTTCATCCCCCCTCCCCACCCCACTTACCTGTGAACTCTCAGGTGTGTTGCTTGAAACTTTGAGAAGATCTTTTTGCCCCTTCCTGCCCCATCTGGACATCCATTCCTGGGAGAATGCCATGTGGGGTGACTTTGAATCATCCAAGTCCAGTGACAACAGTGCAGGTTGCTGGTGATCATCAGGGAGGAGGCAACAGGGAGATCACCAATCACTTTCTCACATATGCCTTTGTATGTTCAGAATTAACTCAAAGAACTTAGGAAGGAACATGTAAATGCCCAGATGACTAGAAATCATTGCAGATGCTCAAGAAATATGAGCAACTAGCAAAATATCTCTTCCTCAAGGGAAAACATCAATTCTTCATCATCCACAGACAACACAGTGGAACTCATTAAAATGTCAGGTAAATAATTCAGAATATTTATAGTGGCAAAACTAAATGAGATGCAAGAGAAAAGACACAACAAGCTCCAAGAGATGAGGAAGTTCCTTCATAATTTGAAAGAATAAATAGACACTATAAAAATAATCAAACAGAATTCTTAGAGATGAAGACTGTGACATAGGAAATAAAAACCTCCCTTGAATGTATTAAAAGCATATTAGATCACCAGAAGATTGAATCTAAAATGAGAAAGACAAAACCTGTGACTCAGAAAAATTATGAAGAAGACTGAGGAGACAACCAAGAAAAATGAGTACAATATACAAGAAATACTAGATACCATTAAGTGCACAAACATCCAATAATTGGTATCCCAGAAGGTGAAGAAAATAATAAAGTCATTGACAATTTATTCCATAAAATCCTGGAAAATTTCTGAGTCTAGAGGGGCGTTCAAATACCCAGACCCAAGAAATACAAAGGACCCCAAATGGAATCAACCCAAGAAGATATTCTGCAGGGACATAACAGAAAGATTGGCAAAAACCACAGACAAAGACAAGAGACTTAAAATTGGCAAGAGAGGAATGTTAAGTTACTTACAAAGGTTATCCCATCAGGTTAACACTGGACCTCTTATTGGAAACAATGCAAGCAAGGAAAGAATGGGGAAGTGTAGTCAAAATGTAAAATGGAAAACAATTTCAAAGAAGATTTTTAAACCTGGCAAGATTATCCTTCATGTGGGAAAAAAAGCAAACATTGTCAGATAAACAAAAGATGAAAGAATTTACCAACTCCAGTCCAGCTCTTCAAGAAGTTCTGAAAGTAGTTCTATACCAGGAAAACTGAAGTCAGAC